AAAGCTGTCTCGGGTGTGGACCAATCAACTTCAAGGACAGTGCACATTATCAGAGTTATGTCTTTTGTTTGTATTTATGACTGCAGGTATTGCGGTCTATGCAAACATGACTCCTTGCAAAAAGGTGTCAGTTTTGTTGCCAGATAGAAGGGTAAAGAACCAATTATCATATTTTTACTGGCAAATGAGGTCCCCATAGTGTAGATGCTTGCCCCGAGCTCTCATACTCTGATGGTGCATTGTCCTTGAGTTGTGCGCCTTTTGGCGTCATCTGGTCCAACCCATATGAGACTAGGCTCGAAGGAAAGCTGTCTCGGGTGTGGACCAATCAACTTCAAGGACAGTGCACATTATCAGAGTTATGTCTTTTGTTTGTATTTATGACTGCAGGTATTGCGGTCTATGCAAACATGACTCCTTGCAAAAAGGTGTCAGTTTTGTTGCCAGATAGAAGGGTAAAGAACCAATTATCATATTTTTACTGGCAAATGAGGTCCCCATAGTGTAGATGCTTGCCCCGAGCTCTCATACTCTGATGGTGCATTGTCCTTGAGTTGTGCGCCTTTTGGCGTCATCTGGTCCAACCCATATGAGACTAGGCTCGAAGGAAAGCTGTCTCGGGTGTGGACCAATCAACTTCAAGGACAGTGCACATTATCAGAGTTATGTCTTTTGTTTGTATTTATGACTGCAGGTATTGCGGTCTATGCAAACATGACTCCTTGCAAAAAGGTGTCAGTTTTGTTGCCAGATAGAAGGGTAAAGAACCAATTATCATATTTTTACTGGCAAATGAGGTCCCCATAGTGTAGATGCTTGCCCCGAGCTCTCATACTCTGATGGTGCATTGTCCTTGAGTTGTGCGCCTTTTGGCGTCATCTGGTCCAACCCATATGAGACTAGGCTCGAAGGAAAGCTGTCTCGGGTGTGGACCAATCAACTTCAAGGACAGTGCACATTATCAGAGTTATGTCTTTTGTTTGTATTTATGACTGCAGGTATTGCGGTCTATGCAAACATGACTCCTTGCAAAAAGGTGTCAGTTTTGTTGCCAGATAGAAGGGTAAAGAACCAATTATCATATTTTTACTGGCAAATGAGGTCCCCATAGTGTAGATGCTTGCCCCGAGCTCTCATACTCTGATGGTGCATTGTCCTTGAGTTGTGCGCCTTTTGGCGTCATCTGGTCCAACCCATATGAGACTAGGCTCGAAGGAAAGCTGTCTCGGGTGTGGACCAATCAACTTCAAGGACAGTGCACATTATCAGAGTTATGTCTTTTGTTTGTATTTATGACTGCAGGTATTGCGGTCTATGCAAACATGACTCCTTGCAAAAAGGTGTCAGTTTTGTTGCCAGATAGAAGGGTAAAGAACCAATTATCATATTTTTACTGGCAAATGAGGTCCCCATAGTGTAGATGCTTGCCCCGAGCTCTCATACTCTGATGGTGCATTGTCCTTGAGTTGTGCGCCTTTTGGCGTCATCTGGTCCAACCCATATGAGACTAGGCTCGAAGGAAAGCTGTCTCGGGTGTGGACCAATCAACTTCAAGGACAGTGCACATTATCAGAGTTATGTCTTTTGTTTGTATTTATGACTGCAGGTATTGCGGTCTATGCAAACATGACTCCTTGCAAAAAGGTGTCAGTTTTGTTGCCAGATAGAAGGGTAAAGAACCAATTATCATATTTTTACTGGCAAATGAGGTCCCCATAGTGTAGATGCTTGCCCCGAGCTCTCATACTCTGATGGTGCATTGTCCTTGAGTTGTGCGCCTTTTGGCGTCATCTGGTCCAACCCATATGAGACTAGGCTCGAAGGAAAGCTGTCTCGGGTGTGGACCAATCAACTTCAAGGACAGTGCACATTATCAGAGTTATGTCTTTTGTTTGTATTTATGACTGCAGGTATTGCGGTCTATGCAAACATGACTCCTTGCAAAAAGGTGTCAGTTTTGTTGCCAGATAGAAGGGTAAAGAACCAATTATCATATTTTTACTGGCAAATGAGGTCCCCATAGTGTAGATGCTTGCCCCGAGCTCTCATACTCTGATGGTGCATTGTCCTTGAGTTGTGCGCCTTTTGGCGTCATCTGGTCCAACCCATATGAGACTAGGCTCGAAGGAAAGCTGTCTCGGGTGTGGACCAATCAACTTCAAGGACAGTGCACATTATCAGAGTTATGTCTTTTGTTTGTATTTATGACTGCAGGTATTGCGGTCTATGCAAACATGACTCCTTGCAAAAAGGTGTCAGTTTTGTTGCCAGATAGAAGGGTAAAGAACCAATTATCATATTTTTACTGGCAAATGAGGTCCCCATAGTGTAGATGCTTGCCCCGAGCTCTCATACTCTGATGGTGCATTGTCCTTGAGTTGTGCGCCTTTTGGCGTCATCTGGTCCAACCCATATGAGACTAGGCTCGAAGGAAAGCTGTCTCGGGTGTGGACCAATCAACTTCAAGGACAGTGCACATTATCAGAGTTATGTCTTTTGTTTGTATTTATGACTGCAGGTATTGCGGTCTATGCAAACATGACTCCTTGCAAAAAGGTGTCAGTTTTGTTGCCAGATAGAAGGGTAAAGAACCAATTATCATATTTTTACTGGCAAATGAGGTCCCCATAGTGTAGATGCTTGCCCCGAGCTCTCATACTCTGATGGTGCATTGTCCTTGAGTTGTGCGCCTTTTGGCGTCATCTGGTCCAACCCATATGAGACTAGGCTCGAAGGAAAGCTGTCTCGGGTGTGGACCAATCAACTTCAAGGACAGTGCACATTATCAGAGTTATGTCTTTTGTTTGTATTTATGACTGCAGGTATTGCGGTCTATGCAAACATGACTCCTTGCAAAAAGGTGTCAGTTTTGTTGCCAGATAGAAGGGTAAAGAACCAATTATCATATTTTTACTGGCAAATGAGGTCCCCATAGTGTAGATGCTTGCCCCGAGCTCTCATACTCTGATGGTGCATTGTCCTTGAGTTGTGCGCCTTTTGGCGTCATCTGGTCCAACCCATATGAGACTAGGCTCGAAGGAAAGCTGTCTCGGGTGTGGACCAATCAACTTCAAGGACAGTGCACATTATCAGAGTTATGTCTTTTGTTTGTATTTATGACTGCAGGTATTGCGGTCTATGCAAACATGACTCCTTGCAAAAAGGTGTCAGTTTTGTTGCCAGATAGAAGGGTAAAGAACCAATTATCATATTTTTACTGGCAAATGAGGTCCCCATAGTGTAGATGCTTGCCCCGAGCTCTCATACTCTGATGGTGCATTGTCCTTGAGTTGTGCGCCTTTTGGCGTCATCTGGTCCAACCCATATGAGACTAGGCTCGAAGGAAAGCTGTCTCGGGTGTGGACCAATCAACTTCAAGGACAGTGCACATTATCAGAGTTATGTCTTTTGTTTGTATTTATGACTGCAGGTATTGCGGTCTATGCAAACATGACTCCTTGCAAAAAGGTGTCAGTTTTGTTGCCAGATAGAAGGGTAAAGAACCAATTATCATATTTTTACTGGCAAATGAGGTCCCCATAGTGTAGATGCTTGCCCCGAGCTCTCATACTCTGATGGTGCATTGTCCTTGAGTTGTGCGCCTTTTGGCGTCATCTGGTCCAACCCATATGAGACTAGGCTCGAAGGAAAGCTGTCTCGGGTGTGGACCAATCAACTTCAAGGACAGTGCACATTATCAGAGTTATGTCTTTTGTTTGTATTTATGACTGCAGGTATTGCGGTCTATGCAAACATGACTCCTTGCAAAAAGGTGTCAGTTTTGTTGCCAGATAGAAGGGTAAAGAACCAATTATCATATTTTTACTGGCAAATGAGGTCCCCATAGTGTAGATGCTTGCCCCGAGCTCTCATACTCTGATGGTGCATTGTCCTTGAGTTGTGCGCCTTTTGGCGTCATCTGGTCCAACCCATATGAGACTAGGCTCGAAGGAAAGCTGTCTCGGGTGTGGACCAATCAACTTCAAGGACAGTGCACATTATCAGAGTTATGTCTTTTGTTTGTATTTATGACTGCAGGTATTGCGGTCTATGCAAACATGACTCCTTGCAAAAAGGTGTCAGTTTTGTTGCCAGATAGAAGGGTAAAGAACCAATTATCATATTTTTACTGGCAAATGAGGTCCCCATAGTGTAGATGCTTGCCCCGAGCTCTCATACTCTGATGGTGCATTGTCCTTGAGTTGTGCGCCTTTTGGCGTCATCTGGTCCAACCCATATGAGACTAGGCTCGAAGGAAAGCTGTCTCGGGTGTGGACCAATCAACTTCAAGGACAGTGCACATTATCAGAGTTATGTCTTTTGTTTGTATTTATGACTGCAGGTATTGCGGTCTATGCAAACATGACTCCTTGCAAAAAGGTGTCAGTTTTGTTGCCAGATAGAAGGGTAAAGAACCAATTATCATATTTTTACTGGCAAATGAGGTCCCCATAGTGTAGATGCTTGCCCCGAGCTCTCATACTCTGATGGTGCATTGTCCTTGAGTTGTGCGCCTTTTGGCGTCATCTGGTCCAACCCATATGAGACTAGGCTCGAAGGAAAGCTGTCTCGGGTGTGGACCAATCAACTTCAAGGACAGTGCACATTATCAGAGTTATGTCTTTTGTTTGTATTTATGACTGCAGGTATTGCGGTCTATGCAAACATGACTCCTTGCAAAAAGGTGTCAGTTTTGTTGCCAGATAGAAGGGTAAAGAACCAATTATCATATTTTTACTGGCAAATGAGGTCCCCATAGTATCAGAATGTCGTCGTGTCAACTGTGTCAACATTTTAAAACGTGGAAGTGTATTGCTTTCTGACGTGTCTTTGGGTTGTACGTGCTACTCGGCATTATGTCCAGCGTTTCGTACCACACGCCGAGAGCTTCTTCAGGAACATGCAAACGTCAGGTATCACAGCACAACTATGAAAACCTACGTGATGTAAAAGTGTATTTTTCTTACGTTTTTCGGATGTTTTGCTTGATACTACTGCAGGGAGCAGACCCCAACTTGGTGAGCTTTGAGGGGCGCCCGGTGCTAACCCTAGCCGTGATGAACCGGCACGCAGCCGCAATCTCCATCCTCGTGCAGGCGGGGGCCAACGTGGACCAACCATCGGGCCTGTATGACTCGCCCCCTTTCCTTTCACAACTGCAGCACCTTCAGCATTCACACTTTACTATTGTAGTCGTACTGCTTTCTGCGTGACCGCCAATGGACGTTGTTGTTTTTTGTTTACGTTTAAATCAGAATTAACAACACAGCGTTGCACGAGGCTGTCGAGTTGGGGGCTCAAGGCGTGAAGTGTGTGGAAGCACTGCTGGCGTAAGTGTCTCCCGATATGTAAACAACAATTAAGATTGGATAGTAATAGGGTTTTACCCTTTTAACTGGTACAAAATCTGACACCTTTATTGTCAGATTTTGTACCAGTTAAAAGGGTAAAAACCTATTACTATATTTTGCCACTGGTAAAGGAGATCTCATAGTGTAAATTAAGATTGGATTTTACACAGCGTATTGTTTGAAAGGCAAACCAAAGCTATACAAATGTACAACACAACTGCTTTGGTTACATCATTGTCCATGCCGTGTAGGTGCAATGCAAGCTTGAAGAAGAGAAATGACCGTGGTATGACAGCACAGGACCTGGCGGTGGCTGGAGGGAATGACTGCCTCGTGACCTTGTTTGCCAGCCACTTTGGTCAAAGTCTGCTGGAGAAGCTCACCCAGGCCAAGCCAGCTTCTGCGATGAAGCAAGCCTCCTTAGAGGTCTTTTAGTCCACCCAGTTGCGGCATAGAAGGAGTGGGTTACACCCAGAGATAATATATTACTTCAAAAGTGTGTTTTTTTTGCGATCTATTTAAAATAATTGTAATGTATGTCGTCATCATTAGCCATGATCAATGCACTGCTAAAGGCCTCCCCAAACCATCAATCTCTCATGATGTACTGTGTTGTGTATAATTTGAAATACAGATTATCTAATAATGATTGAGGGAAAAATTAATCGCGTTAATGTCTTAATGTTGTTTGTACAATGTACTTGTGTGTTAATGTCTGATTGGGTTCATGCATACATTTGTGGTATAAAACAATTTATTTAGCAAGTTGAATATACATTGACAACATTGACAAAAACAATGGGAGTAAAAAAGTATATTCATTCAGGGCAGTGAAAATGGTGGCCTAATCTGTACAAGAATTAACACGCATGGCCCTTGTACTTTAACATCGTCGTTACAATGATTTCTTGGCTAATGACAATGTAGATTACCCCATCAAAGTAAAATAAAAGAAAAACTTGCAAATAACAAAGTCATATTCTACACAAGTGTGAGTCTATGAAAACTATATACACATCTCAAGTAAACTGACCTTCCATACATACTAAAGGGGGGCCACACACCAAGCTGCACGCAAAAGACAAATTCGACCCTCGCACACAAACATTGAGTCGACGAGCGGCGCGGTCATCTGCGCAGGCGCAGCAGGAAGGCATGCTTGCACTCTTTGCTGTCCAGTGGGTAGTACTTGTCGTAGAAGTCCAGGATGTACTCCTCGGCCTTGAAGCCAAACCGCTGGTACAGCAGCATGGCAGGGTTGCTGGCCGATACGTGCAGGGTGATGTCCTTACCCATGCATGTCTGCAAGACCAGAGGGGAAACGTGTTTGATTATTTAAATGCGACTGGTTGAAGTTTAGGACTGTTGCTATTACTCTGGCTCCGTTAACTGTTTAAAATGTTCTCTGTAGTGCCTACGAACGAGCCATAGATTAGAGGTGTAAGCTGCTAAGTTAAAAGTGCCACTTTTGTGTTTAATCTTTACGCATTTTCAGTTTAACCATGAAATGAAGGTAATTTCTGCAATATAAAAAAGCAAAGCACTGCAGTAGTAACTTCGTAAAAGCACACTGGAGCGCATACTGCACATGAAGTCTTAAAAGTAACCACCATGCTATGTTTAAACCACTGCAGTAAAAACACTTCAACTAAATTAACCAAAGAAAGTGGGAGCACTTTATAAGAGGATTTCAAAAGTAGGTCAGCCATGTGGTATTCATGCATTTTATCGTCAAATACAATTTGGAAAAGTTGAGATAGTCTTGTATTTCAATGCAAAAGCCATTGCAAGTGAGTTACAAAATGTTAAATATGAATCTTAGCTTTTTCTTTCATATAGACTAAAGGGAAGGATCTAAGGTTTCTCTTGCTGGCCTGATAGTACTCGATGATAACCCATGCACAAAGGTCCAAGATGAAAAGCATTGCAGCATTGCAGCATTGCGAGATGCTGCTCATGCATGTCTCCTCCTATAGACGTTTGTATTGGCTGGAATCTACCAGTTCAATGTTTTCACCATAGAAGTAAGATTACAACAATAGTTATAACACAAACGTTTACAATGCAACTCATAAAACATTGGTAATAAGATTTAAACAATTAAACAGCACATAAAATAACTAAGCTTAATATGAGGAGCCCTTCTTGATAAATTGGTGAGGTTTATGTAGGTCAATGGTGGAGCGCATTACGCTCTAAACCCGAATGCCAGAGCTTGCTTTCCGATCAGGGCTAAAATCAATGCGAGTGACGTGTGGACCGGTGTTGGGCACCTCTTCACCAACCCATGCTCACTGACCAGCATGGCGAAGTACGTATCAACAACCCCAAAACCGATGTCGCAGATCCCGGAAATGGATCGCCTTGCAGGGCTCGTAAAAAGGCACATAGGTCTGAGCTCAAGACGCACGCAAACCTGTATGAGGTGGTAGATCATGAACGTGCCGATGCCAGCGCCGCGCCACTCTGGGTGCACCAGCAGGAAGGACACGTACGCCTCGTTGTACTTGACGTCGGGAACCATGAAGCCAAACCCAACGATCACTTTCTTGTAGAGGACCACAACGCTGAAGTCCGGGTACTGCAGGCACTCGGACAGGTCTATGCCTGGCCCACGAATGAATACGCACAAACACAAACATCCCCCCGTATAAACTTACACACTGTTGGGGCCCAGTGCTGTTAGCAAGCACCGACTAATGTCTGCATGGCGAACAATGGGGTGGGGGGTGGTCAACACCACGCCTGCCCGTCTTTGTCTCCCCCCAGTGTTGATGTTTACACACCACACCAGGTACTCGATTAAGATGGAATCGACTTGAATTCAGCACATTTAACGCACCAGCAATATTTCAAACGTCACCGTGGACGGGTTTTAAAACAATCTACTGCACCAATGCAGACGCAGAACGCATCGCGTACCGGGCCAGAAGAATTGGCGGCACATGGAGTTGATGGTGGGGATGTGGTTGGGTCGCACGTAGCAGTAGTCGATGGGCACGTCCGGCTCAGGGGTCCACGTGGGGTCGTGGCGATGAGGGAACGCCCTGATCTCTGCCAGGAGCTTCACCTTGAGGGGCTTCGACTCAATGTCTCGCCTGGTCCAACAACGAGTGAAGAGATCTCAATGTTCAAGCAAGCCTTCGCGCTCAATCCCACAGCAGCAGTGGATAGGTGTGCCCTTTTATCTGTGACGTATATTTATTTCACCAGAGTTGACGCAAGCTTGTGACCAAATCGCCCAGAATCCACCTGATCACGTACCAACCTTGGAAGCTCGGCAGGCTTGAGCCTGGCCAGAGTGATTGGATGGGTGACTACACACAGGTTGTTATAGGCCTTGCGGTATTGTGGTCGGCAGTACAGGCCATTGGGGCCAAAATGCATTGTTCTGCACTTACGTTTCCACATCTATGCTCCCTGCCTTCACAAAGCTGCTTTGACCAGCATGTAGAAGTATGGTAAATTAACCTTCACGGCCTGCACTGATGTGGGGAGGCACTCGATTATATTATCAGTGGAACTACGAAATGGCAGTGATCGTGCATCAGCTCACACAAAGCTATTATTTTGATAGTTCCTGGCATGTATGTGTCTATGTTGAATTTACTTGCAGCGTATGTAACCAACCGTGCTAATCAAAGTTGCAGTATCATGGTATGGTGCGCAGTAGTGCATATTGGTCAACTTAAACAGACAAGTTAAAGTACATTTTTTCTTTAATCAGGTGGAAATTCCAATGAGACCAGGATGGCCTCATTTGCGTGAGCGACCTGCTTTGACAAGAGCAAAGAGAGACACACGTACGTACGTACCTGATGTATGGTTTGAGCACACGTGACGTGTAAGGGCTGATGATGCTGCGGTTCAGGAAAGCGTCGCCGCTGCCAACGAGGCGCTGCAGGAAGTGCGTGGGCTCCTGCCGCCACACCTGCAGCGCCGGGAAACTTGTCTGCGGTAAGAAGTGAACGAGCGGCGAAGCAACAAAAAAGAAAATCGGTGAGCGCTCCTCGCAGCCTCGGGTGGACAAGTGGAAATCCAAATCCCCAACAGCGTCGTCAATCATCTGTCATCGAAATATGGAGGGATGTAAATATTTGAGGAATTTTTTCCAGCTCAACATAAAAGGCAAGGAGACCAAGCATGCTCCCAAGAAGGCACAATTTGTTGATCTATTCATTACAATTATTTGAGCTTCCATTCGCTGGCCATGACCACAATGCAATGGTCTACATTTCCGAAACAAGCCATTAAGTAATTATGCATCCATTGAACCTGTTGGATGTCGATATTTTTCATTATTTATGCACCATTGCGCAATTTTACTTTTAAAAGCCTGCACTTTGTAATAGTTCACAAATACCTATTTTTCACCAGACCATCCACCCATTCCTGGCAATTTAAGTACATGAACAACCCTTTGTCAATTTACTGCTGGATGAGTGGGTTAATTATTATTATTTTATTATTTCCCTTCTACGTGACTTTACCGAAAGAACCAAGAATATAATTGACCATAATTCACCATGCCGGGCAGTGCCGGTTTGAAGCATAGATATGGGAGCACAGTACAGCACAACAATTGATTTTGCTGCACTCCCCTTCACCGTCCACCCACAACGTAGCCCCGCACCAGCCTTCAACATGTGTGTATGCATGGTGGTCGTCCATCCAAGGACTTTCCAGGGTCCAGATCTTCTAGGTGATACGGTCACAGGCAATGTAACTACGGGCATGTATATCATGGATGCTGCTGTTCTATAATGCTTGGCACACCTACACCAGACTTGCAATCCAGAAACCGCCTTTCGATGCCTTCGTTACGGCTTTTGAAACAATGGGCAGATTTCCACCCGTGCAGTACAAATGGGTATTGTTAGTCGATCAGGAGGCCACATGCAGTGGAGTAAAGTGTGGGTACTCCCACCTCTACCAAGACGTCTGGCCCAAGTGGATGAGTATGCCGTATACAGTACCTCTAGAGGGACTCTCTAGAGCTCTCTGCAGTGGAGGCCCTTCTGCCGGCAGTGGCGTGAGCCAGCGATTCTTTCTCCACATAAACCTCCGGTGCCAGCGTGCGGCGCTGGGCACCACTGCGAGCGCGGCCTCGTCACCTGGTAGCGATCGAGCACGCGGAAGTCGCTGCTCGTCGTGCGGTAGACGTGCAGGCCGGCGGCAGAGAGCGCCACCTCCTGGCAGGTCGGGGCCTCCTCGCGTCCATCGCCCGTCAGCACAAGCGCCAGCGCCCTCTCGACGGCGCGGTCCAGGTCGAAGAGCGGCAGCCCGCGCTCCCGCTTGGCCTGGCGCACGAGCAGCTTGCGCCGCAGGCGACGCGCCTCCGAGCTCGCGGCCAGCGCGCGTGGGAAGCCGGTGAGGCTGCGCAGCAGAAGCTTCTCCTCGTACAGGCTCAGCGAAATCATTCTGCCACGCACAGACGGCAGGCGCTCATTTTCACAGAATCGCTAGCTACCAGGACGTTCGCTGTCGATGGCGGACACATGCCAACCGGAGTGGGCCAAGTATGAATGGGAAGCATAGCTCCAAGGCTTGACGTTTGAATCTCATTGTGGAGCAGCGTCACAATGGTTAGTGTACTGTGCTATGACCCAGGTGATAGATCCATCGCATATGATACATTTCCTTAAGAATCATGCAGATTTCATGCTAATTATACTGTTAGACTAACATTTGGAAAACGAAATAGTAAATGACATGCTAACGAGATGGCAAAAATTTGACAACAAAGAATAGATCCTCAAATCAAACAGTGACAACGAACCTCCACAATTAACTTAATTGCAAAGGGGAACGAATCATCACCTCCAAGCATCTAAAAAGTAAAAAAGGTAGAGGTGCAGCCCTGCAATTGCTTTCTCACTCACTCCACTACTTGACGGAACACTAGAGCCCCTCCAGAGGGTAAATTGTCTACTCTTGACATCCTGAGGTGAAAGTACTTAAATGTTTACCCCAACACACGCGACCTGCCGATCGACTAACTGTGGTGCACCCATTTATCATTTACACTGCTAGATAGACAGGAGTGGTGGGCGGATTTTTTCTTAAATCGCCCATTGTTTCAACTGCCACGCCGGCTGATGAAAAACAACGACCTCTGAAGCCCAGCATACCGACCGCAGCGCCACGGGGGCAGCGTCCCGCGAGCACTGACAGTGAACAAAACCTGCGCGGGGAATCCGCACGAACCTGGGAGCGGGTGCGGGTTCATCCTCGCGCTCCACCTTGGTGTGCTCCCTTGCGCGCGCCACGGCGACGGCCGCCGGAGTGTCGCCGTGCGGCTTCCCCGCCACCGCCGCCGCCGCGTCCTCCTCCTCCTCCTCGGCCTCCACCTCTGTCTTGGGCTCCAGCTCGGGCTCACGCACGCGCTCCACCCTGACGGCTCCACCCTCCTCGGCGAGGCGCAGCGCCACGGGCTTCACGGTGGGAACGAACTCCACGCCCGGGTCGATGACGGCGTCCAGCTCCATGTCCTCGTCGTCCCCTGCACAAAGCGAGAACCGGCAACACAGTCGGGCGTTACGAGACACCGCGCTGTATTGACGCCACAGCTCTTTTCGTGTGTATGCGTGTTGAACGTCTTCCGCACTGTACGTAACCAACCGTGATAATCGGAGTTGCGGGGGGAAAGACAACAAACTAAACACATCAAGCAGTTTTCAATCTGGATTTAAAAGTGCAAAGCTTCAGTGGCTTCCTAATATCGGAAGAGCGTTCCAGATGGCCGCAGAAGTGCTTATGAAAGAACTTCCAGCGAAACGGATGATTCCAAAGACAAATAAATGGTATCGCATATAATGACTGTTGACGACTATCCGTAAGGCATGTTTGTCCAGTGTGGTGAAGTATGGTCAAATAACCCCCGTGACCAAAGGGCATGGGGAGAGGCCCTCATTCAGCAGTTGACTGACAAGTTTCAAGTATATTTTGTGAGAAGTCAGGAGACAAAAGAAATAATATAAACATATGAAAAGTACAACGAATTACAACAGTGAAGCAGACAGAGAATGGAGTAAAGACAACTCAAGGATGACACCCTTTCTGAAACCACCAGAACTGTCCTGGTCAATACCAGGACGTTTGGTAACAGTAGCAGATGCAAGGGGAGAAGCTATCGCCCCGCTTGAGACCCCGAATTATAGTATTTCATATTTAACAAATAAACCCTTAGATTTTTTTCAAAAATACCATTTACGTAGGAGCCTATTTCAAAAGCTTAACGTTTCAGGACTACATCCCCTCCCTTACGTTGTTTCGAAAAAAATCGATCTCTGTTGGTCGCCTTAACCTCACCGTGCAGTAGCGCCTGTGGGGGCATCACGTCTGGCACGAGGTCGGCCGCCGAGAAGAGGCTCGGCGTCGCCGCGTGCGAGCGGGGCGTGCCCGGCGCCGACGACGATGACAGCTCTGGCCCCGGGGATGGCGCTGGGCTGCCGAACGGCGTCGTGCTGCTGCCCCCACCGCCGACCCCGGCGCTGTCGCACGAGAGCAGCGAAGAGTGGTCCAGAACCTCGCCGCGCTCCAACCCCACGGTGGCACCGCCGCCGCCGCCGCCGCCGCCGACGCCGCCTCCGCCGCCCTCGGAGGAGACGGCCGAGCCGCCGGCACGTCGGGAGCGTGGGGTGGCGCGGGCCGGCGGGATGGAGGTCGGGGAGACGGCACCCTCGCGCTGGGCCCGTCGCATGTCCTTGGCCTCGGTAGTGCGCAGTCGCTTCTCCTTGAGCTCCATGGCAGACTCGACGGCGTTGCGAGCCGAACGCTTGCGCAGGCTGTCCACGCGTGCCGCCGGCTCCGCGCTCTGCTTGCTAGCACCTGGGTCGCGAAATGATAAGGGTGGGCAATGTGACATCTTTATGCGGCAAGCGTGTAAACAATGCATACATTCATCGATTACAAATATTTATTATGCTCGCAATACGTGTAGGATCGTGTTTGTGAGATTGTATTATTTATGGATAATTACATGAACATGTAATTGTTATGCTTATGATACATTAAAGCACAATAAAAAAAGTATTGAACCAGACAAAATAATAGGAGAAAAGTATAAATGGTCAGGTAAAAACCAAGACAAAATTATTGCGACCAAGAATCTTGATAATTCTTCAAATTACTGGGGGGGTTGGAATCATTACATTACATGCCTACTAATGGCCAGCAATATTTACATTCATTAATTTTAAGAAAACATTGGCTGATGTTTTTTTATTCACATGTCATTTGATGGAATTTGTTTTAATGCTGGCTCTCATGGCCAGGACATTGGGTTGTAGTCTTTAATAAAGAGGTGATGTCTGTCCCACTGAACTCTAAAGCATGCCCCACACCTACAAAACATTTCTATTAACAGGCTTATCAGATCTGAGCAATAACCACAACCTTAACATTCCTGGTGGAAATTCAACAGCAATGCATACTTTAGCACTATCTCACAAATATGGTTCAAAAGCCCTTGCCCTTCTCCCGCACCTCCGATTGGCACGGTCGACTACGTAGGGTGTGAAAGAAGTTCAACATACATACATAAAAGATGTGTATCATACTCCTTGTTACATGTCACACAAATACAATCACACACTCTCCACACCGTACAATACGCTTCACAAAACAGCTCACACAGCCTATTCAGGGTGCTCCTTTTCTCTCCTTTCTCAAACTCCCGTAACGGATCACCGCCCACCACCACCCACTCCCCAGCATCAATCTGATCTTCAAAGTTCATTTATTAGGTATAGCCCTGTGAGCCATTCGGCTCTTGAATCGGGTGCAACCGTAACAAACAAAAACATGAACAAGAAAACATCTTAAAGTGACTATGTGCAAACAGAAAATCCAAGAAAAGACAGCAAAATATTGCAGAAAAAGCACTGTACACCAACACTGCGTGCAAAAATCCCAGTGAGATGCAAGTCAAACAACAACAACCACAAGACAACTTAGATTAAGGCCATCAGTCTAACTCTGTACTACAACAAACAAACATGGCCAAACCAAAAAACTTTCGAAAATCACCAAAATAAAGCCATAAAAGCAATGAAACAGTGGTCACAGGAACTGAGACCGAATTTTCACAATAAACGACGTAAACAACATGTACTACCAAACTCTGCAGCCATAGCTGGCTGCATGAGTCACTCCACAACATGAGGAGCATGATCTGACCTCGGCCACGCTGCCCGCCAGGCGCAGGGACGCTCTCCAGTTCTGGCCGGAGCGAGGGAGGCTTGGTGCGCGCCAGCTTCCACCATCCCGGCTCTCCGAACTGCTGCGCCCCCGAGCGGAAGTGCATGGGCGAGCCGACCGAGAGGCAGCCGGCCACCGTGCTCCACCACGTGCTCGTCTTCTTCCTGTCGCACACGCGGCGGGCGGACGCCCGAGACGATCCGCCGAATAAGCCGATCGGTCGACTAAGAATTGTTTGGCGAACACGATTTTGTGGTCGATTGCTTGAAAGACACTGGCCGCCCCCCCCCCCCCCCCCCCGACATGCAGGAAGCTTCCAACAAGCCATAACTGATAGTCATTAAAGACATCTATTACTTTATAAATAATATGAAGTGTCATGATTTGCATCCAAGCAGCAGACGAGCTATGAAAAAGCACCATGAGAACTCCCACATGAGTAACAATAATGGAACTATACGATCATCATTATCTTCATCACTGTCTCTAGCAACCAAATCCCTCTGACTGTGCCCAAAATCACACAATCTTAGAAGCTAAGCAGTTGTGAGCCTGGCAAGCACTCAGATAATCTTACAAGCTAAGTTGAGACTGGCAAGGAGTCAAGTACTCAGATCGAAGCCTATCCAGTAGTACTAGGTGTTTATATTATTTGTTATACTTTTTAAAATGAATTATACTGTGATTATAATGGCGAGTTATGCTACATGATTTTGTGCTAGTACAAACATAACTATCAAATACAAGACAGACATTTCTGTTCAATTGATTTAATGTATCCAAAATCGCATCTTCCTTATTCCATTGGAGTAGCATCTTCCATGCATTTCTACTGGGTCACATCGGATGCTTTGTGAACCACCAGTTGCGGACTAACCTGTTTCCCAAGAGAAGGGTCCAGTACTTGTCGATGATCGCACAAATGTCTTCCTTCCAACGGAAGAAGCCTTGACGGCCACTACCTTCCAGTGACAGATTGTACATAGCCAGCATCACAACCTACAGAACATGTTACACACACGTGTTACCATCATCATCAGCCATGTCTATCCAATGCTGATTAACAGTTATCTGCCATCAATGCCTCTTTGCAACAGCTGTCCTGTCGGACGCGTTCTCGCTTTAAAGCTGCCATTTGGTCAACAGTCTCGACCATCAGCCATCATCCCATCTCGTAACAATTTACTTGAAAGTTGTCGATGTCTCCGATTTGTACTTGTTCAATGATCCATGTGCCATATAGAAAAAAGTAAACTGCATCATACACAATGGTAATTCAAAAATCATGATATAATTCAGTGACCTACTTACTATACTGCCATGTGATTGCACCCCGCTACTTGTCTAAGTGAGTGTTATGTCCAAATGACGACCTCCATGTGAATGAATAACCCTGCCTCTGATGTGACTTGTCACGTGCCGGATTAGAGGTACCTGTTGCCAGGTCAGTTTCATTCTCTCAAAGGTCTCTCGTCCATCTGGCGAGCAGTCAACACAGCAGAACTTGAAGAAGTTGTCTCCCTTCAGGTGACTGGGTGGATCGCCTTTCAGCTGACCTGAGCCAAGCAAGGAAATAAACACGGTTAATTTAAATATTTAAATTATTTTTTAACCAACCTTTTGTCGACATCAATGTCTAAATAGGATAAAATTATTGACCAAAACATGTTTTCCACTTGAACAAGAATCTATCGAGATGCAGTTTCTTATACCGCTTTACCACTGGCACATCTGAACCACAACTTGCCACGGACTATTTGTCAAACTGAGCCCGAGCCAAATTCTGAAACTCTGGCCTCATCCGACTCTGCCTTGGGGCCAAACAGGGACACGGCCAAGAGAAGGCAATGCAGTACATGCAAAACTGCATATCCTTAAAGGCCAATGGAAATCCACAAAAGCACAAACATTAACATTGATTTATTAAATTTAAAATAAAACTGTGGCAGCATCTGTGCCTCAAGTAAAAAGAAGCAGTTTAATTCTGTAATTCATTTTTTGTTGTTGCAATTGCAGTCATATATTTTACAACCGGGTATAACCCCATTGAGACAGTCTCATTTTCAAGGATGATGCGAGTCAAACGAAGCACCACAGTGAACATGCTTTAAGTCAATATGAACAATGTACAAAATCTTAAAATAATAATATTAAGAAATAATAACAAGTAAACATTAACATTTTAATATTACATTAGTGATGCAAAAGAAATCAAGTGGATAGTCGCAGGCCAAGTGAGAACTGAACAAAGATGTACAAAATAAACTAGAGCTGGACGCCTGTGAAAAAGAACTTCATCGCTCATCGGGTTCTACCAGCTAAAAATAAAATGTCTATGTCCAACTATGCAGAAGACAAAAGAAGCAGAGGAAGAGACAGCGGAAGAGTTGGCGAGATAACGTTAAAGCATTCGGAGGCCACCAATGGACGACTAAAAACAGAAACGTATGGAGCAAATTTGGCGAGGCCTTTACCCAGCCCTGGGACGTTACAGACAACAATGACATTGCATTAATTTTAACAGGGCATTGGAGCTGCTTTGCTGATGAAAAAGAGCACTGCTTACTCGCCACAGTCCACTTCTGGCAGCTCTGACAGTGGTAGGCCAACTCCTCGGCCCATGCCACCTCCCCCTCTTCCAGCATAGAACTCCCATCCTCTCCGTCCGACGGCTCCGCGCCAACAACGCTGGTGCCTCCCGGGGGCTGTCTCTTGCCCGGCAGGGTCCCGCTCGCTGCACCAGAATCTTCCACCGAGCTGGTCTCAACAGCCATGGACGCGCCACCACTGCAGTCTGTAGATCCAACAGCAGTAGACATGTGTGACGGACGGTGCACACTTATACAGGCCATTTACACATCAATGTATTGTTCATTGCACCTAATACTCACGTGCCGATGGAATTCACTGCCGAGCTCTTGATAAACATATTCGTTTGCAGTTGTAAATTATAATATAAAATGCAAGTATGCCTAGCTTACAAAAAAACAATGAACTATATTTGTTGCCTGTTGTGAATTCTACGATCAATACCTTACAATTAAATAACAGGCAAGTAGCCTGCCTTAGTAAGTGCGTACACAGCCGGAAAATAAGGGAACAGTGGTCTCCCATATGTACTTAATGGCTCATGAGCCACACAGTGAGCATGCTGATCAGACATTCAGTCCACAAATCACTATAGTTATAATACACATGTCCTTATAAACTAAGTTTAATGTGCAACCCAGGGCACTTGTGCTGCAATGCATGACTTTTGATTGCTTCTTACCCAACCTGAACGGGAATTCCAACGGTGCATCTGCAGGGATTAATCTTTAAACAGGCAGCCGCTAAAGGTACACCCACACATGCTACTGTTGTTCCAGTACAGATTAACATGACAGAAAATAATCAACTCCTACAATCCAGTTATTAGCCACATACTATATCCATTACTGCTACTAAGCCGTAGCAGTATAAAGTTGTACACAGAATTGTTACTAAAGTACTGAGGTCAGTAGGCTGACAGCGGTCAACATTTGCAAAACGGAACTTTGTAAAAAGGGCACAATCATGAAAATAAAGCATGGGGCGGATATACTACATATGTACTTAACAAAGACATGTGAAACAAGTTTCTTTAACCATAGGAGGTATTTATTTTCAGATAGCAGCCCATTACCAAGCATTTACAGTGGGTAGCAACCCACTTTAGCAACAATAAATCACCAATAAGGATGCAGAAATCTCTTGCTGCTTTGCGATGGAAGTGCTCACAGTATAAGTGCAACACGTCTATAATAATACCACTCCCGTTCTTCACGCAATAACTCCCGGTCACAGATTTTCCAGTGCCTGCTTCCTTGGAAACCACGTTCATTCTCCACTTGTATCCTTACCCGCAGGAGTATCACCCTCACCCTTTGGGCTGGTGACAGTCCTGACCATGTCACTGTCCACTTTAGCCTCGGCCGCTTCAACAGTTAAGTCTTTAGTCTTCTTCATATCCGTCATTTAAGTGATGCGGACAACTCGTGCACATACACACACCAACGTGTCAATGAGGTTTTATACAGCCTTTCAGCTATTCTTATTCACAATCCGATACAGGGCACAGCTTGATTTTTCCCTAAGAGCTGGCTCTGATCAAGGAGAGGGGAGAGGAAAAAAATGTAGTTTGGCTTCAGGAGCACCGTCTCGTAATGAGGACGGCACTTGCTAGTGTTTGCTGGTGTCTCCGTCTTGTTCGGCCAACTGGAGCTGGCGTTCGGCCTCGAGTATGCGAGACAGCTCTGCCTGCTCTTGCAGTCGCCGCAGGTTCTCTGCCTTGCGCTCCTGTCGTTCAATGTCACGGTACACACCCTCACGCAGTCTCTGCACACACAAGACACACACAACATGCAAAACCAAATGCTTACACGTGGACGTATATACACAAGCACGGGCATGAATATTGGACGTGTTTGTAATTATATTTTATGCCATTGTGAGGATATTGACATGTTATGGGTCGAAATGAGCCTCAACATTGTGTCAAGTGAAAAAGCTGAACCGTGTTTTTAGTGCACGGCCATTGTGTTCCCAAGGGCGACACTGACACCCAGGGGACTCAAACCAGCCAGCTCAATGTGTGACGTGACATTTGCCACCAGGCCACCTTGGCAATATTATTACTCTGAATACAGCTGCTGCACATGCCTGTAACCCAATATTTTGGAGTCACGGGTTAGCGAATCACATGCAGAATGAAGATACGACACCCCACTGGGGTGAGAGGTGGCCAGCGGATGGATAAATGCAAAGTTGGTTCCTCAACCTTCTTGTCTGCTACCTTTTGAGTGCTATGTAATATCTAGGACGATATTTTTCTCCAGATACTCCAGTTTCTACCCACACATTTGACTCTTTACTTTGAAAATATCTGAACAAACGTCTCAATGCAGGAGCCGCCTGAAAAAAAAAACCGTCTTGAAACGCAGCGTGGATTTTCTGGATAAATAAAATTACACTTTAGTATCTCTAGCAATGTTACAGACGTCACCAAAAGTCAAGTGACATTCAGTGGCTACATATACACCAACATCAGTACTAGCTCCGTCTTTAAAAGTAATGCCCTAGGTTGGAATACATGGACGTTCAACAAAACAGGGACACAATTGGCGCATTTAGGATCCTTCCAATTATTGTAAATACTGTAAACTAGTTTGTATATATTATGTTTTAATTTTATTATTTTATTATGTTTTATTTTATTATTTTATTATTTCCCTTCTACGTGACTTTACCGAAAGAACCAAGAAGATGAATGCCTGCAGTCACGAAAGCTTTAAATCGAAATTTAGTTTGTATACTTAGGGATCAAAGTTTTTTTCTGAAGATCTAACCCCCTAACGATGGACATTTTTTGGTCCTTAAAATTGTTTTAACTTACAAAGGCCATACACAACTCTATGAAGCTTACCCTTCAATGGAAATTAATAAAGCTCTTATCGAACGGTAACTTTGAGGCTAATTACGTTTCAATAATATCGCCTGAAGCTCACAAGGCCACACTTTTTAAGGATGATGGTGGGGTTATAAGTGTTCATTCAATATTCTATAAAATATCTTTTAGCCAACTCAGCATTTAGGTTTCTATTGTTTCACTGGTAAAAGTAGCATTGTACTCATAGCTCATCCTTAGGGTGCAATGTTAATTTCGGCGAAACGAGACCACGTTACATTAATAATATTTAACATTCAATTGCAATTTCTAAACGCTTACAGAGCCAGATGCACCATTAAGCATCACTTATTCCCTAAGATCACAGGCAAACCCCAGGGTAAGTACATTTATAAAACGCGGAACTCTTATAACCTAGGCAATATCACTATTCGTGGATTATAAACCTCTCTTAAACACAATTACGTCTTTTGCGTGCTCTACTTAACGAAAAGTCTCGAATCCTCGTGAAGTGGCAGCGAGTTCGAGGCCCGATTTACCGCAAAGCCGCGAAGGTTTCGAGCCAAGATTCGCGTTATTCTACATTAATTCAAATCCCCACGCTCGTAATTGTGTTCTTTACAACAAAAGGAATCGCTGTGGTTACCAAAACTATATATAGACAGTGGCCAGCGTGTGCACTGGCCGCCGTGAAAAACGATAAAAGCCCGGGGGGGTGGGGGGGGGTGCCAGGCGGGATTCACTCGGCCGGGCTGAGCCTCGCCTCCCCCGGCAGCGCTCGCTATCCGAGTGCCGGTGTGCTCGAGTTGCGGCCTAGTAAGCAATCTGTGTCGCCTCGCCAGCACCCACCTGCCTGTCGTACTGCTGCTTGAGGTGGACTCCGGCCACGGTGGACACCGTGAAGACCACGGCAAGGCCCAGGGTGACCTTGGAGATGGTGGACATGGCCAAGAGGAGTCGATTTGGTGGGGTGGTCGTGGTGGTTAGGGTGACCCTGTCCGATCGCCACGCATGGCTGGGAGCCGCAGTAACAACACGAGGAGGGGATGGGAAGGGTTGATGCTGTGTGGATGTTACTGATACTCATACGTAGGGAAAAAAATAATAATAATAAAATAATTAATAGAAGAAAAAAAATTTTGCTTTCTTCTATTGCTTTATTATTTATTTTATTTTTATTTATTTTTTACCTACGTAACTTTACCGAAAAAACCTTAGAGTGTGAAAATCCTTGCAGTCACGAAAGCTTCAAATCTAGGATGTTACTGATGCCTCTAGAGGCGAACTGTGGACGTGGAGTTGTTCGACATCAGGGCATTACGTGAGATTGGTTGGCTCCGTCGTTGTTGTTGCTGCTGCTGCATTGGTGAGCGCACGTGCGCATCTTAGAGGTCAAAGATACATATACGGTTAGGTTTTGTCGGTAGAGTCACGTATGTAAAAATAAATAATAAAAATAATAGAAATAGATTTTATAAAGAATTTTTATTATTTCTACAAATAAGTAATAAATAGAAAAAATAGAAAAAAATTATAAATAACTTTTATTATTTCTATTATTTTATTTTTTACCTACGTGACTTTACCGAAAAAACCTAAGAGTATGAATCCTTGCAGTCACGAAAGCTTCAAATCTAGAAAGTCAAAGATATGACTGTGAATTTGTGCTGGAGTGCACACATGTATCCATTACACTGTGGTACATTGATACCCAGTGATGTAAATTCGAATCCACGTCTTCCCTCTCTCGAGAAAGAGAGCATATACGCAATGAAAAAGGGTAATTGCCCGAAACGTCGCCTATTATATTGTTTCCCTTTAACGGCAGAGTTATTGACGAATGTGTTGCGTTGTTAAATTTTAATGATGGAAATTTCTAAAGCTCACAGCGAGTTGATATTTGCCACAAACCAATTCCATATTAAAACATGTAGAAAATATTAAATCAATTTATAAACATGGAACCGCTACATAAAGTAACACTTACATAAAATATCAAGGGGAGCCACGATATTCAGCGACAAGATATTTTCTGGAATTTGGTCATGAAAATTAATGGTGAAATTATTAACCATCTTATATATTTTTGCTCATGGAATAGTCATTATAAGAAATCGATATAAATGAACTCCAATAAATTATTGGAGAAAGCTTAACACGAATAATTATTGTAAAAATCACAATTGGAAACACAATACAATATGTTTGTCTGGCACAATTATTGAAGGCAAACTAGGGTATTAATATAAATAAAGGAGGTGAGCAAGAGTAGGATGGAGTGCTTTAAAAAAATCACTTTATATTAATAAGCACATTTCATGTACATGAAAAAGAAAGTTTTTATTCAATAAAATGTTAGAGCATGGGACAAAAGCTGAATAGTACACACAGAAGCACGATGAGATCAATGCTTGGTAATAAGCTGTTAAAGAGGAAGTCGTCGTTAAGATAACTTATGCAAATTAGAACCACGCTGTTGACTTAAGAAAAGTAGGTTTGGGTAGGGATATCAATCTCTAGAATGGATGCTGATCAGTGGATGAGACCGGCCATGAAATGGCAACCAAAAGCCGTGAGGACAATCACCATGAAGATTGTGCGATTAGATCAGCTGGCTGGGTCAGGAGTGGACTAGATTGTGGCATCGCATGAACATGAGACGGCGACGATGCGGTGAAGCCTTCATCCAGCAGTGGATACAACACGGCTGATTGTGATAACCTTGCATATCTGTGTTTAAATTGCTATAGATGAACCAACATACATTTAGAGAAAATAATGTTCGTGCGTACATTACATTTAAGTGTATTTTTTTAAAATTATCTTTGTCGTCCTGTGAACAAAATATGAGACGCAAATAAAGGAACTTTTCAATTATTGTTTTGAGCTCATTGTCATAAGGGAATTTTATTTCAAAATTCCCAATGACATCCAACACTACCGTGCAGCCAAAATAAACAGCAATTGATATCTTAATCAGTTTTGAGTCCCCTCCCCCCATTGGAAAACCTGTACTGACTAGCATGGTACTGTCTGATACAACAACAAACCCGCATAGCTGACAACGCGGCGAGGCCTCAGCTCCAGCAGTGGCTTGACGAAGCACTGTAAATCAGAACTTTTGCTATTATATAATACCGAACCAAGATGGTTCCTTTACGGCTAGGTGGAGTCAAGTGGCTTCATTTGAAACAGTTTTAAAATGTTACGAATGTTGCCACACAACGTGGCTGCGACAAATTGTCCTGGGCTAGACGTGTACAAGAAAAACCGGATTGCAATGACAAATGATGAGAACAATGGAGCTGTTACGAGCTGGGACCTAAACACCCAGCATGTAGGAAAGCACTTATCAGCACGTGGATACCTGCACGTTTGTAATCCATGCAAGAGTGGGTGTGTTTTGAATTTTTTTGCCATTTTTGTACGACAGCATCTGAAAACAGTAGTTTTCCTACGAATATTTTAAAAGCTAATTCACATCTCAAACTTTTTCTAAATTCCAGCCATTCTCAATTCACAAATAGGCTAAGTCAGTCATGGAGGTTTTTTGTTGTTGTTGTTAAATTCTTCCCCATCCTGATCAGTGCTTGTTGGTGAGAGTGGAGAGGGCGCTCTCACCAACAATTACTACTTTTATTAATCATCGCCAGAGATCGAATTTGGAAAATGGCAAGTGATATGAGAACCGGTCCTCTCATATGGACACCAGCATAGTATATAAAAGACAGAGCTGTATCCTCTGTAATAATTATGGGCATTTTTACCTGGTTACCAATTTACCGCAGCAAACTAAAATCCCCTTTTTCTTTACGCTGTGGCCAAATTGCCCAGTATCCACCCGATCGCATTAGATTTAAGAAGCTAAGCAGGTTTGGGCCCTCATAGTACTTGGATGGCAATACAACTTGTAGGCAGTGCACAGCAATTCGACAGCATCCTTTGATGTACGTATTGTATATCTCTGCTCTCAGCACAGTGACGTGTGTATCGCCAATTAAACCCCAGATCCCCCACGGTATGTAGGAGGCCTTCATCCAGCAGTGGATTGACAATCTGTCTAAACATTATTCATTGAAACTACATCATGTTAAAATTGGAGACGCATTGAAAGAAATTTCGTACCGATTTAAATGTTGCGAGATTACTCTCCAACACGCCAGTGGTGCTGAAGCAGTTATACATTTTGCACGTTTGATGCACGTGACACTTGTATTAATTGGCTGTTGGGTGGAGGAGGGTTTACGACACGCATTTTTACACGTCCTAATAAAAAAATAAACCAATTATGAATCAGTATATTGGTCATCAAAGCCTACGTATATATTTTTTGGGAAAATACACGAAATGCTATAAATGTGAAATGTAATGCAAGCATTTAAATACGTGTAATAATATGACTATGCATGCCTAATAAGTATTTAAACAAAACATTAAAACTGTAAATGAAACGTATTTGTTCTATAAGATAAGCACGGTCAATTCACTAGTAAAGATACAAGTGTGTGGGAACAGGGATGCGGGATTGGAGAATGTCCACAACTTTATACATGTTTTCATTGTTAAGAAATGCGATTCAGAAATAATAACTTTTCAAACATTTGTACTTCGTTTTTTAGATCTCCATTCTTTGTAAATGAGGCCAATATGGGCTCTTTTGTCCGGAGGTTTAGATGCTATTTACCCAAAAAATCTTGTAGCCCTGCTCAGAACACAGAACCCTATAATCACAAAGTTAAACAAGAGCATTTCTTGGGTTTTTATAGTTTCTAAATGTGTATGCACAGCAGGCTGGTGCCATACATAAAAGAGCCCACTTTGTCGCCATGTCTAAGGTGCCTGCAGTGTTCTTGTAATTATATAGCATGAAGCCCACCAGTCACGTGCGGTCAGGGGAGGCAGGGGAGGCATAGCCTCACCTGCATACTCCAATGAAAATAGCTGTTACTAAAAGTAACACAAAAGAATAATAAAATAAAAATTAAGATGTTTCCACTCATCTGTTATAAATGTCATTTATGTACGATTCCAGTAATTTTTATAGTCAAAATCGCCAAATATTCGGAGCTCCGCTGCAAATACAGTGAGAGACGAGAGGTGAGGCAGCGACGAGCTCAGCCTCCCCTCTGATTGCGCAACCCCTCAGAAACTGGATGGAGCGCGGGCAATAAGCGCGTGCCTGTTACTATCTCAGTATGTCACCAATGTAATGTTTGTAGACCCCTTCATTGCATGTCATCGCCTTCCATAGTCTAGGTAACTTATTTCACGTATATGTATAAAGATACTGAGGCTCGCTGATCTCGTCATAAAACTGCAATGAAAAAGCATTAGGGGAGGCAGCTATTACATCTGCCTCACTCAGGGGGGCGTGTCTAACACGCCCCCCTCAGTGAGGACACGCCCCCCTCTGTGTAAATCTGGCTCTGATACGAGCCAATGCATCCCCAGCCATCGACCTCACCGCACGTCACTGAAGCCCACAAATAGGAACCTAAGTAAAGCATTTACCATAATCGAAGTGTTGTATCTTTGAATAAAGTAAACCACATTGCTCTATCGATAAGTTGAAGAGAGTAATTAGCAGGCGACCCGAGATCAATATCCAACCGGGGCTCACGTCGGTGGCGATTGATACGAAAAGTGGCCCAGGTTCCCTCCAACACCCCACCCACCAACCTGCACTGACCAGCATGGTGAAGTATGGTCGAACGCCTACGATCGCCACAGCGTCGTGGGGGGGGGGGGGGGGGACACCTCCATCCAGCAGTGGAATCACAAACGTATTCTACACGGCTGAGCTGTCCAATGATATACTGCTATATTTCCTGATATCTTTGAGTTCAGTTTAACATTTAAATATCCTCATCCATTTTCCAATGTTCCAAGTGCTGCCAGTGAAAGACAACAATCCCTGCAGTCAGGAAAGCTTTAAATCTAAATTTAACCGCCACTACGGGGTGGGATTTCATAAAACGTATTACTTCCCTTCTACGTGACTTTACCGAAAGAACCAAGAAGATGAATCCCTGCAGTCACGAAAGCTTTAAATCGAAATTCAACCGCCACTACGGGGTGGGATTCCATAAAAGTTATTACTTCCCTTCTACGTGACTTTACCGAAAGAACCAAGAAAGCTTTAAATCGAAATTTAAACCAAAGATAGTTTTTTTAATCTAGCGGGTTAATTATATGAATGCCTGCCTAAAAAAAAAAATCTAAAGTTCTTTTAAAAGCATGACAAATAGCGTATTTTCAAAAAGTAACCGA